AAAAAAAAAAATATCGTTGTTTTGTGTATACCATAATTACCATACAGATCCTTAGCTGTTCCTCTATGAAAACGGTCATCGATTCTTGGGAATGTGACTGACACGTGCCGCGTGCCTTGGGTATAGCCTTTTGAAGGGTTTCCCGGGATCTCCGGTGTTCACCATGGTGGTTTCACCGAGTGCAGCTTGGATGCTTTCCACGCCTTCAGTTCGCCTCGGAACAGCACAGCTTTAAGCCTTCACAGAGCCGAGTCAGGAGCCTCGTGGGCATCTTGATTTCAGTTTCGTGCTCTTAGTTAAGTGACTTCAAGCAGTTTTGATGTAAAACAAGGTCACTTTGAACATGCTGGTCGTTTTGATTTCAGTTTCAAGTATTTCTTTGGACTAAGAGCCTTCCGCTCACGTGAACGGGACTGACGGATTGCTGAACAAAGCACCCCAACTGTTTACCCTTTCAGAGCGGACCGGAGCGGGAAACAAGCAAACACGCGCAAAGCATCCAGTGTATTCCAGTGTCTCTTTTACTTGACTTTAGGCACACATCGTTTCGGTTGAAAAGGCCGCATTGAAGGGCTGCACATCACCACTGATAACTGATTTGAAAAAGCTCTGTGGGTGACTCCAAACATGGAGCCATAACTAAAAGAAGAGAACCTGGAACATAACTAGGGGCGCATGCTTGTTTTCAGCAGTGTGTACGGCTGAGGTTTTGTGTTATAGGCTGAGAAGGTGCTGGCATGCAAACACACTGCTGTGCTCAAACAAGCTGATTTTCGTTCGACAGGTGCATCTCGAAGTAGGGAAACCATAGACTCATAGGCTCTGGAGCAAGATGAATCCCCCATGAATTCCGGATTCATGTTAAACAGTGGCTTCATGTGTGTATTTGTCCTGCACCGGGTCTTGGAGAGAAATCCTTGGCAACGCATCGGGCTCTCAGTGCTCGGGCTCTTGGTGTAAATAGGCGCTAGATTAGGAATCAGCTTCCAGCAGTTCTCCCACACTCAGACACTGTATCGCATAGATGCCTACATTGACCCCTCAAACCACCCCAATGTATGAAAAAGATATAAAAAGATCTGCTCGTCCCACCGCCCAGGCAATGGGGGCAGGTCTCCGACGAGCCGTCCAAGGAGTAGGTGAGATGGGGTCACCTGAGAGGGCAGGGGTCCACCCGAGAGGCCAAGATCGGCCGAGATCGGGCAGATGGGCGAGGTCGGGCAGATGGGCAGATGAATGGATCAAGGTCTCCTTTTGGGCGCCCCAAAGGCACTTCGCAGTGGCATTTTGATGTTTCAAGTCCATTCACCATGTGGAAGAGCTCTCGAGTTGGTGTCAAGAGTTGGTCGGTTGCTTGGTCGGTTTTCCGTAGGCCCGTAGGCTTTTGGAACCATCTAGCCGTAGCCCTTTGAAGGTTTCTCAAAAGTAGGACACTTTGGGATGATTGCCAGAGGGTAGCACTCAAAGGAACCACACCAGTGCTTTCTGGTAGAGTCTAGTCGTGCACGAATCCATGCTTGTCCGTTTCAACTCCCAGGACCTTCAAAAAAGATCCTTTAGCACCAAATTGGTCCAATCACTTATAGTAAATTAGTGCCACCCCCTCTCAAAAGAACCCTTCAAAGGCTCCCACTTTCGAGCGCTTCGCTTCCTGCCACAGGTCGCTGCGGCGGCCCTCACCGCCCGTGGTGCCGCGGCGGCGGCCGGAGCGGCCCGAGCGGCCCGAGCGGGTGGAGCCAGTGGAGCACCGGAGCACCGTGCGCACGAGTTCGGTGCACCTTCCGCCCAGCTGGAGCAGAGGCGGGGGAGCGAAAGAAACTGCAGTGTTTCTTGGAAAGCTTTGGCATGCAGCCAACCTCCCATGACTCAAATGAATCAGTTGGGTAGTTGTCCTTCCAAGAGCAGAATTTGCTGCCAGTTGGCCAGGAGTTCCAGGTCGGGGTGGCTTTGGGGCTCATCAGGGTGATAGGCACCCCCATCAGGGTCCTGTTGTTCCCATCTTAAACGTGTCACAGGAACCTGGAAAACTCTCCCGGTGTGCATGTCCCCAGACATGGGGGGTGTCTCTCATGATATCTCATCAGTTCTCATGATCACCCTGCGAATCTCAGCACACGGATTGAATAAAGTAAGGGGTGTCCATCCAACAGTGACTCATCTCCATGCAAATCCTCGTGTCCAAGCCTTACAAAGCCACTGTATGCGGTGTTTATGGGAGCCAATCTGACGTGCGCAACCCTTCGGCCCTGGCTCGCCAGGTCCCCACCGCGGAACCCGCGAGACCCGCGCCGAGAGCCGCGCCGAGAGCCGCGCCGGAGCGCCGGAGCGCGGTCGGTCGCCGCGGGCGCGGGAGGCGCGGGGTCCGCGGAGCTATGGCAATGACCGCAGCCATGCGACAGAGCGACACACGGGACACACGGGCGAAGCTTGGCGGTTTTTAAGATGCTTCGAGATGCTTTTTCGGGGGGAGGAAGAGTGAGAATGTCATTGCAGGGAAGGATTGTGCGAAAAGTGTAGATCACGTTGCTGGTGGGAGTACTGGGCTTGCGGTTGTCCTGCACCCACTAACTGTGAACAGTCAGTTCCAAGTCTGCCAGTTTGCCAGAGCTATATTTGCAAGGCTGCGTTGTACATCAAACAGGAGTCATGCACCAGGATTGTATTTATTTTGCACTTCATAGCGGTTAGCAGGAGGATTGGAGACATGGATACCACTGGCAGAGGTTTTTGAACGTGGCTGTTGGAGTTTTGTGTCATCAACACTGATCATCAAACTCTTGACGGCCTCGTGGACCTTGTGACTCATGCCATTGAGACCGAGGTACCATAAGTAGCACCATAAGTATCATGTCTTCAAAACCATTGTGGAGTCTCATTGTCAAAGTGCTTTTGGACAAGCAGCCCCAAATGGACACAACATGTCTTCCCATCCTCATCCGAAACCACTCCAAAGGTAGGAAAGCAACCCATGCGTTGCATCCTCTCAAATGTCACTACCTCAACCACCAAGATTCCTGCAGACTGCATCTTTGTGTTTCCAGCGTTTGCAGGACACATCTTCAACCCTCCCATCCCTCAACCATCCCTGCTTCTATGTCCTAAGATGTTCTAAGCCTCACTAAGGAGCGCAGCCGCACCGACCACGCCGCCCCCACCGCCCGCGGCGACGCGAGTTCACGGGGCGACATTTGAGAGGA